TCGACGGCGACCGACACTTTTTCGTTGCCCATCTTTCCAGTTTCTGGTCATTAACCACCTGATTGTGAACTCTGTTGATTTAGTACCTTCTGAAGTGTCCGGCAACCCTTTTTGGTACCATACCCTATTTTTCATGTCCATTTTTCCTAGCAGAAGGGACGTAGATTCAAGGTCAGCCTTAATCTTATCAGGTTTTATCACTCGATATCACATTTTATCATGAGATTGTATCGAACGAATCCCATGGGAGTTCAGCCTAGATCTGATAAGTTTTATCACCCGATATAATATGTTATCTAAAGCCTACTTCGATCGACTTCTGCAATCGTCTTCTTACCTGTCACTGTCGAACTTTTTCAGCAATGGTGGGCATGTGGTCATGCTTTTTGCCTGATTTCCACTGTACAATGTCTCAAATGCCAGATCAAATCGTTCATTTCCATTGTGAATTGGGTTCAGCCTAAACCAGATCGAGAATGGAAACGGTTCGATAGTGGGCAAGGAGGGTAGAACCCCAATGAAGTGGAATACTGGACACAGTCGTACCGCAAAGTTTTTGTGGCAGAAGTGTCAGGATAGAAAGAAATCCAAAGAGTACTCAGCGGTGACCCAATGAGTAGACCTTTTTTCCGAATTACTTTTTAATTCCCGCTATCTTATCGCACTACAATTATGTTCTGCTCACACGTGTCCGGTTAACCCTACCACATTTCGTTAGTATCAACCGATACCTATATTTTATACAGTTATTATCATTTATATACATTTACTGTCTGTTTTTGAAAGGTAAACCACTGAATATACACTGATTACTCGGGTTGATTCTAATATTTTAAATTTTATCATATTTTTGAACTGTTAGTTATACTGCAGTAAGTCATAGTTAAGAGCTCATTTAGGTCGCAATTGATCCAGTGAGCTCAATGAGCCTAGATTATACAGGGTGAGACAACTTTATAGAAGCAAAATGAATTCCGCTGAAAAGCTCAGTTCCAGCTCGAAACAGAGGGCAATTTGTATTGTTTGACTTTTCAGAAAAGAACTTAATAATAGGCGCTACTGTGCTTCAAAACGATCTCAGTTCGACACAGGCTCAAGAACTGGCGAGAGGGGTCGACAAAATGTGTAGTTTGTGTTTAACTTGTTCCAAGCCTTTTGCAAGGCTACCTTCGAGTAATCGGAATACGGCGAGACTTGGCGTATGTCTTGGACCCAAGAGTCCCCTACGCCCCACGAAAATCAAGCGGCAACAGGTCCGTCGAACTGCGAGGTCACTGTCGAATACGGCCTACCAGGCCTGAAATGTTTTGGTCTCTTGGCATCTTTTCTCATTTGTATGCCTCTCTACTCGAGTTTTTTTTTTTGGGGAAATCTTTGTGATTTTCAAAGTTTTATCCAACAAGAGGACTTAGGCG